CACCTACACAAGTTACTGTGTGATCTCCAAATTCTAACATAGCCCAAACGGACTCTATGTTTGCCTCACTAACTTTTATTAGGCTAGATTTTATGCTATCCTTCACATACAGAACCACCCCTCTCCCTTTTTGCCTTCTCTGTCTTTTCTATATAAAGAGTACCCTGGTATTGCTATGTCCCAGTCATTATACTCATTATACCATGTCTCAGTTACAGCAACTAAATCTACATTATTAGCTGCCATTATTGCCACAAGTTCATGGATCTTATTCCCTAAACTGCGAGCATTTGTAGACATGACTCTAAGCGTATCTTTTTTTTAACTCACTCCTTACAGTTACTTTCTGTCCTTGTTTTGGGGGGCAATTGTATTGATGTTTTATCACCCTTTAGTCCCCCCCCCCCTCCTAGTTTAAATACTTCCTAGCAAAACCTCTAAACTGCTCGATGAGAACATTTGTTCCCTTTTGAGAAAGATGCAAATCATCTTTTTTGTACAGTTCATTTCTATTCCAAATAGAGCTACCATGAGAAACAAAGCCAAATCTTTGCTCCCGACACTATTCACCAAGCCACAAGTTAAAGTTCCTAATACGCATCCACCTGCCATTCTGAGTGTTATGCACAGGCAGAACTTCAGAGAATGACAGTGTGGAAGCAACCTGCCATATATCATTGGCAAGAACACAAAACCCTTCCTTTACCTCAGAAACCTCATTACAAGCCAAATCATTTGTCCCAAGATGGACAAGTACATCCAATTCCCCTTTCTGCTTTGATTGCTTAACAAAATTATAAATACGTCTCCTGTCTCTGTGAGCAGTAGCTCCAGGAAGACATCTCACAAAGCCACTATTGTTCAACTCCACACCTCTTAATAGAATTCCCCAACAACAACTGCTTCCTATCAGGCTTCACCTTGTCCTTTTTGTCCTTGGGTGCACTCTTGCTCACCTTAGTATAGAGGATGGTGGTTCCACAATCCCGGTGCCTTCAGAACACTTTGTATGTGGCGCTTTATGTTATAATGGATTACTAACCTAGGCTTGTCCTGATTATTCTTTGTCAGCTGCCTGCACCAACTTGGCTTGTTAAGCCAACTTGTTATGTCTCCTTTTACATTAAGACCAGCCATATAGTCATAGTGGCTACACAAAACTCCATTTAGAATACCCTGTGTGGCCAACTTTTCAAAACGGTATGCTATCATGGGGGCTGTTTTCTTTCAAAGCATGCCATAATGTCTCTTGGGCAACAAAAAGTCAGTTTGCAAAGCTCCCAAGTTTGAAATGAACATGTATTATATTTGGCACTGTAACTTCCCCCAAAAAGTTGAAAACCCGGTACATAGGATTAATGTTATATTTATGAGAAATGGCAAGATACAAATATTTTGAACCAATGGTGAGCTACTGATTGGCTTAGAGCTTCAGCTGGCCGGCAGCACTCCAACGCTGATTTAGAAGCCAGGTGCTGCCTGGGGGACCTGGACATTGGCACTGGAGTCAACCTTAAGGGTTAAACCATTTGAGAACAGTTTAATTCCTTAAGGTAAGCTTGCAACTGGGGGCCTCCTGGCATCATAATGACTTCATTTAGATGAAGCTGTTATGGTGACCGGAGTGTTCCTTTAATATGAAAGGAGTAAATTCTGGTGAACAATATATAACTCAAATTCTTGATTTTGTCTTGTTCAGAACTTGGACAATTGCCTTTGTTCTTAAGGGGTAAAAATCATAATGTCTCACCATTTAAAACCTAATAAAATATATTAGTGGTTGTGGTAATTCATTGTTTGCTATTGTTCAGATAAGTCTCTGACTACTGTTCTTGAAATATTGATTGTGCAGGATGTTTTTTCTCCTAATCTCTTGCTTAACATTGGATAGTTGGTAGTTTTAGTCTGTTTGTTCTCTTCACATATTTGAAATGTCTTCCCCCAAAAAAACTTGTTCTCTAGCCAAAAATATCAAACACAAAGAAAGGAATTTCTTTGTTTGAGTAAGTACATGAAACATAAATATGCCATGAGCTGGACAGCCATTTCTTGTAAGCAATTATGGAAAATAAAATCATGTGTAGATGCCATGAACGTTTCATGTACATATATGTAGAAGAAGCTGATTTAACAGTCTACAAAATAATAATAATCAAAGAACACAGTCATTTTATTACAGCATAAATTGATGTAGCATGAATTCTGTGCAGGGCTGTGTGTGCGTGTGTGTGTGTACATATATATATATATATATATATATAGTGAATGCAGTGTTGTAAAAATGATGCAAGGTGTGTATGTTAATAGTAGATGCAGAGAGAGTGAGTGTATAGTGTGTATAGTGGATGCAATGTTTGTATAGTGGATGCAGAGTTTGTGTGTATATTGAATACTGTGCCCATGTTTGTGTAGTGGATGCAGTGTACAGTGTGTGTGTTTGTGGTGTTGGACAAAGGCTGCAGGGGAGTTCTTTTTAATATTTATTTAAAATAACATTTATTCCCCACTCCCTGCCTCTTACATGATGCCAGGGATGCGGGATACCAGATTCTTTTGTGGTCCAGTGAAGCAGCATGCCTGTACAGCTGTGAGGGCCCAAGAGTCTAATCTTCCACCTCCTGCAGCCAATCCTCTCCTTCTGTCATGACCCCAGAATGCGTTGTGTGCACTGCAGCGCGTTGTCATTGCAATCTGTGGCAACGCTCTGACAGCCGTAGCTCATGAGTGGACACTGCCAGAGTGGAAACTTGGAGTGTCCTGAAGACAGCAGGGTACGCAGGGGTTTAAATATATAGGAAAAAAACACAATGAACACACTGTGCAGTGTCTCTGTGTAGACACCTGTACAAACCACCTCCCGGGAAAAGACACAGGGTGTGGTGACAGGTTACACACAGAGATCAATGTACCGGTAGGGGACTCCAGAGATCCCAAGCGGGGCTTAACCCCAATAACCAAAGGACAAGAAATATTACGCAATGCAGTCAGTCTCCCTATATCCTAGGGACTAACCACATATCTGGAAATATCTATAGCGATCGTGTGTAGTCTAGAACATGATGTCAAAATAAATATGAATATAACTAGAGACCCAAAAACAGAAAAAATCAAATAAAGTATATACAGGTGTGACTCAAATCCCATGCCAGATAAAAGCGGGGGATATATATACAAGGGGCTAAGTATCTGCCGTCTAATGTCCTGCCTCAACCCTGATTACCAACTTTATTATGAAATACTAAAAGGGTATGAGTGACAAATGGCTAGACCCCCAACATACTACCCCACTTGAAAAAGTCAGTAATCATCATGTTCTAGACTACACTCGATCGCTATAGATATTTCCAGATATGTGGTTTGTCCCTAGGATATAGGGAGACTGACTGCATTGCGTAATATTTCTTGTCCTTTGGTTATTGGGGTTAAGCCCCGCTTGGGATCTCTGGAGTCCCCTACCGGTACATTGATCTCTGTGTGTAACCTGTCACCACACCCTGTGTCTTTTCCCGGGAGGTGGTTTGTACAGGTGTCTACACAGAGACACTGCACAGTGTGTTCATTGTGTTTTTTTCCTTTGAGAATTAGGTTTTAATACCAAGTACCGTTCTTGTGTATCATGGCTAGCTTTTTATTTGATAAGTCTAAAAGAGATGCTTGGTGTAGAGACACAGACCAGGTCTTTTCAGAACAAGATCTAACTAACCCGTCAGATAGTGATAATATTATCTCATCATTTAATCGTTTGACTAATCTGTTTCAGCAACAGATCAAAACAGGATGGGAAATTGCATCACTTGATAATTATTTAAAGAAAGATCTTATCCCCAGGGGACTAAGGGTACAAAATATACCAGCATCCCATATAGAGGAGGAGGAGTTTACTAAAGAGTGGGAGGAAGCCGCAGCAATATGCTCCAAGAGGTTTATGGAGATTCTTTGCAAATTTGAAACAAAAAGACTAGAAAGAGTCAATAAGGAGGTGGATGAGCAGATTAATAAGATCTCAGCTTTCAAAGACGAACCAAATTTTGAATCATTAGAGATTAAACTTAAGAATAACTTGGACAAATTTCAGCAAAACATCAAAATTCGGAAACATTCCAAGTTTATTAGAGATAATAACGACTTCAAGAGTGGGAATGTGTATAAGAAAAATAAAAATAGAAATTTTAGGAGGAGTTTTTCGGAACCAATATCCACATCAGAATATGAGACGAGTGGTTCAGACTCAGAATCATCTAAAGGGGACCTTTAGTTCCTTCTGAACGTAATACTAAAAGCATATTGAAAAGGGGGGTTTCTTTTTTAGGACAACACAGTATGGAAGAAAATATAGCCCCACGGACACGCAACAGAGGCAGACCACCCCAACAATTCAGAAGGAAAAGGTACTAGATCAGACCCCTCTTGATAATCAGATCATTAATTTGTCCTCATATAATCCTACTAAAATAGAGCTACAAGTCTTGCAGCGGGGTATGTCCTTTGTCCCAGTTTCTAATTTTGATAAATTTAGTTGGACAAAGGACATACACCTTTTTGCAAGAAAATTGGCTCTGCACAAATTTCACCAGACGAAAAATGAGAAAAGGGCAAAGGATCTAGGGCTACAAGCTTCTGACATAGGTGCACTGGATATCCTAGTGGACTTACTTACATGCAATGATGTCTCCACACAAAAACAACCTCCATTCACACAATTGAAAAAGAAAAGCCTGTTCACTCCACATCTAGTGGACTTTAAGTATATTGACCTATTTGTGGAGATGACATGCAAGGAAATTGATAAAATTAACCAGAAAGATCTATCAATTCAGCCTAACAGCAACATATCTCCACAAGAAAGCATTTCCCTCAAAAAATTGAAAGATATGGATGAGTTGATCTTTAAACCCTCTGACAAAGGTGGCAATACGGTCATTCTAAACAAACCAGATTATGTTTCAATGGTTCACAGATTAATTGGAGACAGGGAAACATATGAAGTACTAAATGGCGACCCCACACAAAAGTATCTCGCTGAATTAAAAACAATTCTTGACACGGCATTATCCTTATCTCTAATATCAAAGGAAGAATATAATTTCATGTTTGTTAAAAATCCAGTCACTGCCACGTTTTATGCACTCCCAAAAGTACATAAACAGCAACCCATATTAAATGGAAGACCTATAGTCTCTGGCAGAGGTAACCTGACCCAAAATATAAGTCTATATGTGGATCAGATTCTAAGGAAGCTCGTGTTTGAACTCCCTTCATATTTAAAGGACACTAAACATACATTAAATATTATAGAAGGGATAAAAATCACTGGTCATGCTATTCTCTGTAGCCTTGATGTGGAGAGTCTATACAGCTCAATACCACATGAGGTGGGTTTACAACACCTTCGAGCTTTTTTGGATAGCAAACCAATGTTTTCATTAAGACATAATGAATTTGTCCATGACTTAATGCAGTTCATTTTAACACACAATCATTTTATCTTCCAAGGGAAATACTACCACCAGGTGAGAGGAACAGCAATGGGGACGGCTTGTGCCCCCTCATATGCCAACCTCTACCTGGGGTGGTGGGAGAATACTATGGTGTTTAATGAACACATGCAAGAATACACAAGACATATAAGAATATGGAAAAGATACATCGATGATGTATTGATTGTATGGACAGATACCTCTGAACTCTTTCTAGAGTTTGTTAACAATTTAAATGTAAACCATATCAATCTGAGACTAACAAGTGAAATTGGTGGCAATAAAATCAACTTTCTAGATCTCACTATCTCTCTGTCAGAGGGAGGGGTACTTACATCTACCCTCTTTCGGAAACCTACGGCAACCAATAATATGTTGAACTGGACAAGTCACCATCCACTTCCCCTCAAAAAAGGGATTCCAGTGGGACAGTATTTACGATTAAGACGTAACTGCTCCTCCGTAGAAGATTTCAAATTGAAGGCGAAGACCTTGCAACACCAGTTCAAACAAAAGGGGTACCCAAATAAATGCTTAAAAAATGCATATAAACGGGCACTATTGTCAGAACGCAAAGATCTCTTATTGGAAAGGAAGGTAGAGACATCACAGGAGATTATTAGGTGTATAGGGAATTTTGATGCAGGTTGGCATCAAATTATGAGTATCCTTGATAGGTTTTGGCCCCTCTTACATCAAGACCCACACCTCCATAGGGTGATTACACCCAAGGCATCAGTAACAGCACGAAGGGGGCGGAATATCAAGGATATTCTAGTCCCTAGTCACCTTAAAACAGCAGCTCCAAAAACCTCATGGCTGAAGTCCCCTGTCCTAGGCACTTACCAATGCGGTAGATGCAAGGCGTGTAAATTCATACATAGACCCTCCAAAACATTCTCAGATTCCTTGGGTGTACAAGAATTTAAAGTTCGTAATTTCTTCAATTGTCAGTCCAAGGGACTTGTATATTTACTTATATGCTCATGCAACAAGCTATACGTGGGAAAAACCTTTCGTAAATTCAAATTTAGAATTAGGGAACATGTCAATTCAGTTAACCCCGGAAGACAAATAGATACCCCTATCTCTAAACATCTGAAGTCCCATCACGGGGGGTCCCCACTAGGGATCAGTTTCTGTGGCATCGAAAAAGTCACACTTGGACCAAGAGGGGGAGATTTAGATAAAAGACTACTTCAAAGAGAGAGCTTCTGGATTTATAAGCTCAAAACCCTGTCACCAGTTGGATTAAATGAGGGTTTTTCTTATACACCCTTTATTGCCGACTAGCAAATTATGGTCTGAATATGTCTCTCTTCCCTCTTATCTCTATCAGCATACGATTTGTATATATTTACATCTTTATAAATTAGCCCAATATGCCTGATACACTTGTAAATTTTGTAATATAGCGTGTGTAGTGTTTATATATATATATATATATATACCTTTTTTATTTTTACATCTTTGTTTATTAATTATGATATGAATACCTTCCTAATGACCATATAAATATAATATGTCTAAATATATACTTGCACTATATAGAAGGGTATATTCCTATATTTACCCTTTGATACATATTCCAGGTAATCAGCATGGACTATCTATATTTAGACAGTAGGATATTTTAATAATGAAGAAGCCAGTCATATAGTTAAAAAAATTTTTTCTTTTTATTTATTATTTATTGTTCATTTGATTCATTGTATCTTTAGTACTTGTCTGTGGATCCAGGCAGGACAAAACAAGTTGTTATATTACAATTGAAAACTTACCCCCTCTGTTCACTAGGTACCCGCCTAAATCATCAGACACACTGAGTCTATATGTTAAGCAGTTTTTATATTGAATAGTTATATGTATTATGTATGTTTACATTCAATTCATAATTTATCTGGATACAATTTGTATAGTTGGTGCATACTAGTGAGTACTTCAAATGGACCTTTTTTTCTTTTTTTTTTGATTTCTGATATGCGATCTGGTTGTTATGGAGCGTTAAGTGAGAGTCTCTATTGGGGACATTCCGGAATGCCTATGTAGATGTAGTTACTGTGTTATTATTCCTACTGGTCGTTTGTATTGGATCATTATTATCTCTAAACTCAATTCTAACATATTGGGCAATTCTCAATATCTTAGGTGCACCCCCCTTGATCTTGGCGTACCCGCCCATTTGACCGTGAGGGGCGGAGTAATCTCTAGCTGTATGTGGGGATCCCCGCCCTCTTTTACATACCTAACTACGCCCACGACGTGTTCCATCCTACTTTCCGTCGTGCCGCTTAGACCACGTGACCCATAGGATACCGGGTCACGTGTTCGGCAGCAAGCCCCGCCTACATCCGTCTCTTGTGGCTTACTAGGACACAGAGACATTTTGGAGATTACGTCCACCTGAGTTTCCACACCCCCAGATCCTATTGGCTCAAGGTATTCATACTCTTTTGGCACTTTCTGTATTTAAGAGACCTCTCAATCAGTTTCTTGTTGGCCCCTGACGAAGGTGCTCCTTTATAGCACCGAAACGTACGTCGGGCATTTTTTCTCCTCATATCATGTATATGAGCACTGGGCACTGGTGACTGTAGCACCATGATTTTTATTTAACACTTATCTCTATTTTTCTACACTTTTCCTATGCCTGTTTAGTTAGATTTACAGGGAGAGAGGCTTGTTTAATTTTAAATACCAGTCTGTTTTTTAAGACTGATTACTGACTACATTTCACTTTCCATCTCTCCCTTCTATATCTATTAGCTCTACTGTGAGCCTTTTTGTTATAATGATTACTGACTTTTTCAAGTGGGGTAGTATGTTGGGGGTCTAGCCATTTGTCACTCATACCCTTTTAGTATTTCATAATAAAGTTGGTAATCAGGGTTGAGGCAGGACATTAGACGGCAGATACTTAGCCCCTTGTATATATATCCCCCGCTTTTATCTGGCATGGGATTTGAGTCACACCTGTATATACTTTATTTGATTTTTTCTGTTTTTGGGTCTCTAGTTATATTCATATTTATTTTGCCATCATGTTCTAGACTACACTCGATCGCTATAGATATTTCCAGATATGTGGTTAGTCCCTAGGTTTAAATATATAGTTGTGGCACTCAATATATTGGGAACGAAGGTATAGGGCCCAAGCACGCAGCAGATTACAAGATTAGAGGATGACTTGTTCCCCCGAGCAGTCCAGGCTCCCCAGGTTAGTGACAACTGTCATGGTTGTCACACCCTGATGGCAGCCCTGATTCTGTGTGTCCTTCAAAAACAGAAAATGGTCTTGGCAGCTGTGATCTGAAATTTCTCACCCTCATGTTATCTCTATGTTTATATAAACACCAAAACTCAGATCAGCAAGAAATGCATTATTAACAATACTTGACTCCCCTCTGATATATTGAAAACAACCACTTTTTATTAAGTGATAATTAGAGGTCAGTCTCCCAGGCTGAAGGAGTGTGTTTTTGTCAAATTTCCAACTATCCTGTCTATTCCATGTAAGCTTATTGTAGTATATGCACAAATAAAGGGAGATCAATACTCTTAGGTTCTTAGGTTTAACCCCTTAAGGACCAAACTTCTGGAATAAAAGGGAATCATGACATGTCACACATGTCATGTGTCCTTAAGGGGTTAAATATATCAAATATAAGATATTATTAAGGAAACACTCCAAACACCATAAGCATTATAGTCCACTGCAATGGTTATGTTGCTTGGAGTGTTTCTTTAAAGTTCCTACTTCTGCATTAGTTATATTAATTCATGTGTGGGTGTAGTTGATTGGCTGAGAGTTCAAGATAATCTTTAGAAAAACATGGAGAGGATGGACCCTAAGAGATGCACACTTTTGACCAATATTTATGATATATGTGGATATTGTTCTTTTCTTAAACGGACACTCCACAGCCCAAATAAAAAATAAATTTTAAAAAACACTGTTTAGTAGATATATCCCAAAAGACACCGTGCATGCTTTTAATTGGGGTTATTTCTAAAACCAGTCTACAAAGCCTGGATTTTGAACCCTTTTTAAATATAGGAACGACGTCTGCCTTCCTCCAATCCTCCAGTACAACACCTGAAACAAAAGAATCTTGAAAAATTCAATACCGAGGATCACTTATTTCCCCACTTAGCTCCTTAAGTACTCGTGGGTGGATACCATCAGGCACCGGAGCTTTATTTACAGTAATTTTCTTTAACAGCTGTAGCACCTTGTCTCGAGTTATCCAATCACAAGTTATCTGCAAGTTTGTTGCAGCAATCATTTGCTTATGTCTTGCCATAGGATCCTCATTAATATATACTGAAGAAAAATAGTTATTTAAAATTTCTGCCTTTTCCTGGTCTTCATTAACTAACAGACCCATCTCTGTCTTCAGTGTACCTACACTTTCATTTTTTGTTTTTTTATAATTGATGTACTTGAAAAAAATTTGGGGGTTGGTTTGCATTCTTTGGCGATCAATTTCTCATTTTCTAGTTTAGCCACTTTAATTGCCCTTTTGCAAGTATTATTGGCTTCCTTATATCTTATATAGGATGCCTCTGATTTGTCCGATTTAAATGCTTTAAACGCCCTTTTCTTATTTTGAATCTCTTGTTTTACTTCTCTACTAAGCCACATTGGTTTTAATTTGTTTCTTTTATATTTATTACCCAATGGTACATACTGAGAAATGTACCTTTCTAATATTTGTTTGAATAGTTTCCATTTTTCCTCAGTGTTTTTATCACTAAGGAGTTTATGCCAGTCGATATGTTGTAGAGCTGCCCTAATCTTATTAAAATTGGCTTTTTAAAAATTATACGTTTTACTATACCCCATGTGCTTTTGCTTTTTTGAGTTTATCTCAAAAGTTACCATATTGTGATCAATATTTCCCAAATGCTCCCCGACTTGAATGTTGGTTAAAAGATCAACAATGTTTGTTATAACGAGATCCAGACAAGCATCCTGTCTAGTTGGTGCTTGTACCAGTTGTGACATAAAAACCATATTCCCCTTGCTGAAGTACTAGTCCCTCTATCCCAATTTATGTCCAGGTAATTAAAATCTCCAATAATTAACGTGTTACCCCGATTTGCAGCTTTCAAAATTAGTTCTAACAGCAGTTCTTCCTCATTAATATTTACATTTGGTGGTTTATAACATATATCAACCAATAATTTATTTCCCTTTGTTTGCCCCAAGCAGATATCTACCCATAAAGCTTCCACATTTTCCTCATCACACTCCACATGCCTAAGATTTGACTTTAACTCATGGCTGACATACAAACATACCACACCACCCTTCTTGTTTTTCCTATCCTTCCTAAATAACGTGTACCCATTTAAGTTAACTACCCAGTCACGTGTCTCATCCCACCATGTTTCTTTTATGCCTATTATATCATATTGTTT